GCTGCTATTAAATCCACCGTGTTGACGTATTTTAGCAAGTTTCCTCTACGCTGCAGGAGTTAAAGTGTACATGACGGAGTAAAGGTTCTGTAGACGCGTTTGTTGGGGGACTCAGTGCTGCACACGGACAGCTGGTGTGATCAGCTCTGAAAAACTATCACAATATGCAGATCACATTTATTTTTCGCGGAGATTGGCTGCAGATTCCTCTTCCAGTCGGCACTCTAGGAATCAAAACTAGGAATCGAAATAAAAACTTTGAACGATTCAGAGAAAAATGAACAGTTGGAACCGGTTCCAATCAATGCTCGATGCCCAACCCTAGTTAACGGCTAGTCTAAGATTCACACAAGCTGTTGATGAGTCCATCTCATGATGCAGGAGTGTCCTGCACTATCGTGGTTTTAATTATGTATTGGCAGTCGGTTCCATTGTCTTGTCAGAACTGTAGAACCAGCATTAAGCTTTTGTCTCCTAATATTCATATTTAAGTGAATCTCACTTAAGAGATTGCAAGTTTTGTTGATCAACGTTCACTAGCTGTTTTGAAATTGCATTCTGCAGCTGGTTTTATCCTGTTCAGTTCATGTTTTTGTAGTCTATAATTTCTGTTATTCTGCTTGGAATATATGGTAGCTCTCATGTTCTAAAATGTTTTTGAAAACTACAAAAAATTCAGAGATTTTGTTACACACAGCAATTTCTATTATTTTATAATACCTAACTCTATTCTTTTAAATAATTTTATCTATTTATTTTAGTCAGTCTTGATATGTAACTAATATTACAAAAATACTAAAACTATAATTAAAACTATTAAAAACTAAACTGAAACTAACAAAATATTTGGCGTGAAAATTTTTTTATTACGTAAAGAAAATTAAAACTAATGAAAAATGCTTAAGTATTGAAACTGTGATGAAATGTAAAATGTTTCTGTACATGTGTCAAACTGGGCTAGTTTGTGCTTAAAGGGACTTTACGGAGTTTTGAATTTTTATGCTCGCGATTGCCCCCTCAGGCCAAAAGCGTAACGGCAGCTTCAATAGTAGGCTCGTGCACGAGGCGCGCATGCTGTACGTGCACACTCCTTAACGAAAATAACAGCTGAGACAGTCCCATGTGTATGTGTGTGTGTGTGTGTGTGTGTGTGTGTGTGTGTGTGTGTGTGTGTGGCCCGGAGGACAGAGGACAGGAGAACGTGCGGCTAATTAATGATATAATTTGGTTCTGTACCTTTCTCTTCAGCACAGCTGACAAGGTTTAAGATGGGTCAGTCCTCCTGCATGCTCAGATCATTCCCTTCCCTTGCTTGAAAAATTGTTCCAAAATGAAAGTTGAACCCACATCTTTTTTATCTGTGAATTCAATGCCGTTCGGAGAGTCTCAAATAAAAATTTGGGCATCTTACTGTAAAAAAATATACCATTAATGTAAAAAAGAAACTCTAAATAAACTATGTTCACATTAGGGCTGCACGATATTAGGAAAACCTGCGATATTCGATAACAGTGCTTAATACTGCGATATCGATACTACTCACGATAAATGAACAAATACTAAAGTATGCAGTGTTGATGTCGTCTGGCGTGTGACGTCTGCTCTGGGTTCAAAGCAAACAAAAACTAATGCATGAATTCCATTACAACATAACATTTTTATTGTAAAAATATGCAGCTGCACCTGCTACTGTATTAGCAGCTGCACCCGCTACTGTATTAGCACCTGCTACTGTATTAGCAGCTGCACCCGCTACTGTATTAGCACCTGCTACTGTATTAGCAGCTGCACCCACTACTGTATTAGCAGCTGCACCCGCTACTGTATTAGCAGCTGCACCCGCTACTGTATTAGCAGCTGCACCCGCTACTGTATTAGCAGCTGCACCCGCTGCTGTATTAGCAGCTGCACCTGCTACTGTATTAGCAGCTGCACCCGCTACTGTATTAGCAGCTGCACCCGCTGCTGTATTAGCAGCTGCACCCGCTACTGCATTAGCAGCTGCACCCGCTACTGCATTAGCAGCTGTACCCGCTACCGTATTAGCAGCTGCACCTGCTACCGCATTAGCAGCTGCACCCGCTACCGCATTAGCAGCTGCACCCGCTACCGTATTAGCAGCTGCACCCGCTACCGCATTAGCAGCTGTACCCGCTACCGTATTAGCAGCTGCACCTGCTACCGCATTAGCAGCTGCACCCGCTACCGCATTAGCAGCTGTACCCGCTACCGTATTAGCAGCTGCACCCGCTACTGCATTAGCAGCTGCACCCGCTACTGCATTAGCAGCTGCACCCGCTACCGCATTAGCAGCTGCACCCGCTACCGTATTAGCAGCTGCACCCGCTACCGCATTAGCAGCTGCACCCGCTACCGCATTAGCAGCTGCACCCGCTACCGCATTAGCAGCTGCACCCGCTACCGCATTAGCAGCTGCACCTGCTACCGTATTAGCAGCTGCACCCGCTACTGTATTAGCAGCTACACCTGCTACTGTATTAGCAGCTGTACCCGCTACTGTATTAGCAGCAAAACAACAAACTGCATGCATGCAGTTTCTCAGTGACTTTAAAACATCACCTCCACCATAAAACTTTTTCTGATGCTCCAAATACAGAAAAACATCCCTTACCAGAGTTTTTGAATAAATAAAAAAATCAGAAAATAAGTTTAAATGTTAAATAATAGTTAACATCACTTAAATGCAACAGCAAATTCTCTCATTGCTACTGAACATTTTCTCCACTTATGTGGTTATGATATAAGGCTGTTGCTGTAATTGGGAAGTGAACTGTGCTGGGCCAAACTAGGAGAATATTAAGATTTTCTGAGGGAAAGAGAAAAACAATTGTCTACCTTTCAGAAGAGGAACTGGCAAAAAAACTACATGGAAAATATGTGAAAACGTTTGTTTTTATCCCCAAATTGAACAAGTTTACCTAGATCTTAAAAAGCAGCTCAGATGATGAAACTGCAACTATGATTCTGATAACAAGCTAACAAACTGAACTAGCTCCTCTAAGATAACCGGCTAGCAGAGCTTCTGACTGACAGTTTATGTGCAGCAGCAAATCAACTATCCTGATTAACAAGGTTATAAAAGCTCATAAAGGAAAAATCACTTTGATGTGTGGGGGAACTTTTCCAGGCCCTCTTTAGCAGGGTGGGACTGGGAGGAGAGTGCTGTAGCCTTTTAGCTGGAAGCTAACCGGAGCCTGGGGCTAACGTCACCACCTGGTGGAACACTAGCGACATGAAGGTGGGTTGGTTCACCGGCACGTGTCGGAGTCAGCCCGGTTATTATCAGCTGCTTAACGACACCGAGCGGACTCACGTTCACGTTTGAAAGCAGCGCTGATTCCAGAAACCTCAGCACAAAGTGTGTTCGTTAATCTGAGCCAGCATGACGAACAAGGGAAGCGAGCGGCAGTGGAAAGCAGGGGCGGAGTAGAGATAGTGGAATTTTGGGGTAAGGGTCTACGTAGGGGGCGGGCGTATTACGTGAATGGACCCATCTGATTGGCCGCATATCAGAAGGACTACATTTGATTGGTCAAATAATACTTCCGCGTAAAAAACAGAGCTGGTTTACAAAAAGGTGATGTATGACACAGATGGAAATGTTTGAACCAAACATTTATCGCCGTTTTTGACGTGCTTTGCGATGGGCCTATCGCACATCCTGTTATCGCGATGACGATAATTTTTCGATATATTGTGCAGCCCTAGTTCACATCCAGAATCAAACCCAGGTCTTCTGCACGAGAGTCTGACGTCTTACTAGGTGAGCTAAAGCGCCAGTGACGTCCTATGTATCTGTAACATTTATATCCTTGATGACAGCTGAAACAACGTTCAGAGAACGGTTCGGAGTGAAAATGGCTATTTTGTTGCTAATTTGCAGGAAATATCTAGAAGAAAGTTCTACAGAAAGTAGCTAAGGGTCCTCAGAAATGTAGCTAGCTTTGTCACTAGGCGTTAGGAACAGCGACAAAGTGGCACTGCCTCTCTCTCTGCTGCTAAAGCTACGGATAGCAAATGCTACGGGCGATGCCTGAGCGTGAACGCGCATGAAGCAGCCTGCTCGACCCGAGCATCTCTCTTTTTCTGTGATTTTACAGAAAAACAGGCAATCACAGTAAAAATGCCAGGGCTCATTCTACAGGACCAGGGCATTGCAGGAGAATGTATGAAGAAGACATTTATTATTTCTATACATGTTTTGGCTGTCACACTTCCATAATGCCCCTTTAAGGAATATGTGATTAAAGTAGTCAAAATCTCATATTTTAACTTTACGGCAAAAACATTTAACCACACTTAATGTATACAACCTCAAGTGTGAATTTTAGACACAAACTGATGACATTATCCTGATATAGAGGGTTTAGTTAGTTAACACGTTAAAATATACCACGATAATAATGAAAACCATGATAACTTTGGTCACAATAACCGCGAGGTTACATTTTCACACCGTGACAACTCTATTATGTTCCAGTCATGAGGCATTTATATTTAAGTATGCTAATGTTTCTTGCATTGCATCATGGGAAATTTGGGCAAGACATTATGTATTTTACTTATAATTTGGTTGGTTTACTTACTAATTGTGACCACTTACAAAACATTACAATCAATGTATCGAAATATGATTATGATTCATTGAAGAAGCAAGCCATAACCAATTATAGTGGAATGCAGTTTTGTTTTTTTACCGCGGCACCAGCGTTAGATCCAAACTTAAAATATAGTCAGGATTCTAAAATTAACTCTAAAGTTAACGGGTAACCAGTGCAGAGATGTTAGAATAGGAGTGATGTGAGCTCTTCCGTTTGCTCCAGTTAGGAGCCTCGCTGCAGATTTGCTTTTCATTTGACTAAAGTCGTCACATAAAAGGCAGCCCTGAAATAAAGCTGATTTGCCTAAAATGAGCAGTTTCAAGAAGTCCCTTATTGTGACATCACAGTAAGGAAAACAAACATAGCAGCCCCCCTCACCTGTTGACCCCGGAGCAGCAGCAGCTCTGATCTCAGCCTCAGGAAACAGTGACAAAAGGAGTTGGTGTCTGTCTGGCTCTGCTTCATCGTGGTCTCTTTCCTCACCAGCAGGAGTCACAAGGGAGGTCACCGTCTCCTGCTTCAGTACACACTGCTCTTCATCCTGACTGATGCAGAGCTCCTCTTGTTTTACAATCTGCAAAGGTTCTGGCTCATCCTGCTCCACTTTCATCTGTGGAGGTTCTGGTCCCTCCTGTAAAGGTTCTGCTTGTTCCTGCTCCAAACTGGAGGTCCTCTCCTGGTTCCAGAGCTGCTGGTCAGTCAGAACCTCCTCATCTGTCCTGACATAATGCAGTGGGAGTTCTGGACAGACAAACAGACCAAACAAAAAGCTGAGTCATGTGACAATAAGAAAGCACACTTCACTTGAACCATCTGATGCATCTGAAGATGTTTTAGAAAACAATGAACTCTTAACCTGTGTGTGTGTGTGTGTGTGTGTGTGTGTGTGTGTGTGTGTGTGTGTGTGTGTGTGTGTGTGTGTGTGTGTGTGTGTGTGTGTGTGTGTGTGTCTGGACTCAGTATCTATCAGACTGACTCGTTTAACAAGTCTCTGATTGTAGAACATCAGCTGGAAACGTTCACCAAGTCTTTAAAGTTTGTCTCTTTTAAACTGATTTAGTGGAGTTCCTGAAAATGAAAACTTCCTAAAATCCCTGAAATTTTATTGATTTAATTCTCTAAAGTGGAACAAAGTTGACCGCAGACTGATTTCAGCTCAGTTGGGTCAAAAAGCTTCAGAACAGCAAACGGATCCAAGCAGACTGTCCTGAGATTGTGTCCTCAGTAAACCCACATGAGTCCCGCTGCTGTTTCATACCTATTCTGTGTAAGTTGATCTGTGGTTTCCAGCTGATCTCCAGCAGTCTGCGCTGACGATCGATCTCTTCCTCGTAGCGGACGATGGTTTTTTCAAACTCGGAGAAGATTTCTGCAGCAGCAGCAGTTAGCCGCTCTCTGATCACCTCTCTCAGAGACTGAGCTGAAGACATTGTTGCTGCAGAGCCTCAGAGGTTCCCCCTCACACACCAGCACAGCAAGCTAGCGCTGGTAGCTAACAAAGAGCTAGCTCTGATAACAGCTTCCGGTCATGTGGCAGCGTGAAGGCGCGTTAGCGCCACCTACTGGACTGGAGTTGGACCAGCAACAACAAGGAAGAGATGAAGGTGTGGATCACAGGTTCAGGTCAAAAGGTGACAGAATGAGACTAATAACAGTGGAAAGAGAAACTGTTGAAGATCTGAGGGAAACGATCAACAGAGCAGATTAAGCTGGAATCACACAGCTGCAGGTTTTTAGGGACAAAGAGAAAACTGATCCATCTGTTACTGGAATTCAACAATCAGTTCTATGGAGGAACAAATGATTTCATCCCTCCTGATGTTCTTAGTTCAGTTCAGTTTATTTATAAAGTGTTAGATGGGAAGAGAGAATAGAGAGGATGTAACAAGGGCGTAGGAACGAGTTTAATATTGAGGGACACATTTTGGAAATCTAACAAATCAGTTGTAGATCAACATATAGGTCAAACTCACTGAAAAGAATACATTTAATGATTATTTCTGATTCTAACGAGTCACTCTGAGTGTTTCATGCAGGCGGAACATGAAAATAGTCTCCTACACCGATCTCCTGCATTAGCTTCCTTTAGAAAATAGACGGTGAAACTCTAGGATTAGAAAAGCCTTAAAGATGTGACTCAGGGCGTAAGGCACAGCCCAGAAAGACAAGAAAATAACTTTTATAACCGTGTTCACTAACATTCTTTATTTTTTTGATCGGGGACCCATGAGCCAACCAGAAGGGGGGGAGACTTGGGCTCCCCATCAGCCAGATCCAGGTTTGATTACCGGTCAGCGTGGACGTTTTCATTATAAAAAAGCTGTTTATGTGTCAGTACTGTTTTATTTATATTTAATAACATGAATGTAGGATATATGATCTTATTCATATGGGTAGAGATGTGTAACCAGATTTAACACAAGACTAAATCTGTGAATATTCAGTCTGAATTGATCTGACTCTCATCAGAATATTTTAAACTACATCAGCCAACAACGCTGACCAACAATCAGAAAAATCTGTTTTCTTCTGACACAATGAAAAAATAAATAATTCACTCACAACAACAGCTGGAAATATTGTAGTAAACTGTCCTTCGTATTCCCGAGTTTCTGTTTTCATCACTGTACACAAAAACTACCAGACACAAGAACAGTTTCTTTCCTTCAGCCATTTCTCTCCTGAATCTGTAGATTCTTTTACCATCCTTTTACTATAGTTTTTAATACTTATTCAGTATGCTTATGGATTGTGTGTGTGTGTGTGTGTGTGTGTGTGTGTGTGTGTGTGTGTGTGTGTGTGTGTGTGTGTGTGTGTGTGTGTGTGTGTGTGTGTGTGTGTGTGTGTGTGTGTGTGTGTGTGTGTGTGTGTGTGTGTGCTGGCGTGATTTAGCATGTAGCCATCCTTACGCTGACAAAAATGTAACTAGGTAACTAACTTTGAGTACATTTTATTTACCATACTTTTTACTTTTGCTTGAGTAAAAATTTAGGCAAGAACTTTTACTTGTACTTGAGTAAAAAAGTGATCAAAGTATGGGTACTTATACTTAAGTAGGGAATTTTAGGACTCTTTCCACCTCTGCTAATAATTAAGGAATATGATAATCCCAATAGAGCTAAATAAAGATAAAACGTCTTAACAGTGTGATAAAACACAACAAGATTTATTACAAGTTCTTATTTGACGTTTTCCAGGTTATTTTATGAAATAAACTAAAACGGGTTTGTTGCAAAACAAGAAAGGATGTTTATTATAGCGATGAGATTACATTTTCTTTAAAACTCCTCAAGAACTGGCTGTAAACCTGTAAACTTGAGAAAACTGTTTCCTCTTTCACGAAATAGCCAATCGCAGGAGAGCCCTTCTAGCCAATCAGAGACGAGAAAGGCGGGACCTTCCTTGTACACGCCGGAGGGGAGTCCCACCACGAGCCGACCGAGTAGGACCTGGCTGCAGATTACATGATTGTCTGGTATTTCTTCATGCAGATAATTATTTCATAATGTCTTCTCCATCCATTCGTACCTGTCCAGAACACACACACACACACACACACACACACACACACACACACACACACACACACACACACACACACACACACACACACACACACACACACACACACACACACACGCCAGCACACACACACACACACACACACACACACACACACACACACACACACACACACACACACACACACACATCCATAAGCATACTGAATAAGTATTAAAAACTATAGTAAAAGGATGGTAAAAGAATCTACAGATTCAGGAGAGAAATGGCTGAAGGAAAGAAACTGTTCTTGTGTCTGGTAGTTTTTGTGTACAGTGATGACAACAGAAACTCGGGAATACGAAGGACAGTTTACTACAATATTTCCAGCTGTTGTTGTGAGTGAATTATTTATTTTTTCATTGTGTCAGAAGAAAACAGATTTTTCTGATTGTTGGTCAGCGTTGTTGGCTGATGTAGTTTAAAATATTCTGATGAGAGTCAGATCAATTCAGACTGAATATTCACAGATTTAGTCTTGTGTTAAATCTGGTTACACATCTCTACCCATATGAATAAGATCATATATCCTACATTCATGTTATTAAATATAAATAAAACAGTACTGACACATAAACAGCTTTTTTATAATGAAAACGTCCACGCTGACCGGTAATCAAACCTGGATCTGGCTGATGGGGAGCCCAAGTCTCCTCCCCTTCTGGCTGGCTCATGGGTCCCTGATCAAAAATAATAAAGAATGTTAGTGAACACGGTTATAAAAGTTATTTTCTTGTCTTTCTGGGCTGTGCCTTACGCCCTGAGTCTCATCTTTAAGGCTTTTCTAATCCTAGAGTTTCACCGTCTATTTTCTATCAGAAGCTAATGCAGGAGATCGGTGTAGGAGACTATTTTCATGTTCCGCCTGCATGAAACACTCAGAGTGACTCGTTAGAATAAGAGATAATCATTAAATGTATTATTTTCAGTGAGTTTGACCTATATGTTGATCTACAACTGATTTGTTAGATTTCCAAAATGTGTCCCTCAATATTAAACTCGTTCCTACGCCCTTGTTACATCCTCTCTATTCTCTCTTCCCATCTAACACTTTATAAATAAACTGAACTGAACTAAGAACATCAGGAGGGATGAAATCATTTGTTCCTCCAGAGAACTGATTGTTGAATTCCAGTAACAGATGGATCAGTTTTCTCTTTGTCCCTAAAAACCTGCAGCTGTGTGATTCCAGCTAAATCTGCTCTATTGATCGTTTCCCTCAGATCTTCAAAAGTTTCTCTTTCCACTGTTATTAGTCTCATTCTGTCACCTTTTGACCTGAACCTGTGATCCACACCTTCATCTCTTCCTTGTTGTTGCTGGTCCAACTCCAGTCCAGTAGGTGGCGATAACGCGCCTTCACGCTGCCACATGACCGGAAGCTGTTACCAGAGCTAGCTTGCTGTTAGCTACCAGCGCTAGCTTGCTGTGCTGGTGTGTGAGGGGAACCTCTGAGGCTCTGCAGCAACAATGTCTTCAGCTCAGTCTCTGAGAGAGGTGATCAGAGAGCGGCTAACTGCTGCTGCTGCAGAAATCTTCTCCGAGTTTGAAAAAACCATCGTCCGCTACGAGGAAGAGATCGATCGTCAGCGCAGACTGCTGGAGATCAGCTGGAAACCACAGATCAACTTACACAGAATAGGTATGAAACAGCAGCGGGACTCATGTGGTTTTACTGAGGACACAATCTCAGGACAGTCTGCTTGGATCCGTTTGCTGTTCTGAAGCTTTTTGACACAACTGAGCTGAAATCAGTCTGCGGTAAACTTTGTTCCACTTTAGAGAAACAAATCAATAACATTTCAGGGATTTTAGGAAGTTTTCATTTTCAGGAACTCCACTAAATCAGTTTAAAAGAGACAAACTTTAAAGACTTGGTGAACGTTTCCAGCTGATGTTCTACAATCAGAGACTTGTTAAACGAGTCAGTCTGATAGATACTGAGTCCAGTCACACACACACACACACACACACACACACACACACACACACACACACACTCAGTCTGATAGATACTGAGTCCAGTCACACACACACACACACACACACTCAGTCTGATAGATACTGAGTCCAGTCACACACACACACACAGTCTGATAGATACTGAGTCCAGTCACACACACACACACACACACACACACACACACACACACACACACACACACACACACTCAGTCTGATAGATACTGAGTACACACACACACACTTTCTAAAACATCTTCAGATGCATCAGATGGTTCAAGTGAAGTGTGCTTTCTTATTGTCACATGACTCAGCTTTTTGTTTGGTCTGTTTGTCTGTCCAGAACTCCCACTGCATTATGTCAGGACAGATGAGGAGGTTCTGACTGACCAGCAGCTCTGGAACCAGGAGAGGACCTCCAGTTTGGAGCAGGAACAAGCAGAACCTTTACAGGAGGGACCAGAACCTCCACAGATGAAAGTGGAGCAGGATGAGCCAGAACCTTTGCAGATTGTAAAACAAGAGGAGCTCTGCATCAGTCAGGATGAAGAGCAGTGTGTACTGAAGCAGGAGACGGTGACCTCCCTTGTGACTCCTGCTGGTGAGGAAAGAGACCACGATGAAGCAGAACCAGACAGACACCAACTCCTTTTGTCACTGTTTCCTGAGGCTGAGATCAGAGCTGCTGCTGCTCCGGGGTCAACAGGTGAGGGGGGGTGCTATGCTTGTTTTCCTTACTGTGATGTCACAATAAGGGACTTCTTGAAACTGCTCATTTTAGGCAAATCAGCTTTATTTTAGGGCTGCCTTTTATGTGACGACTTTAGTCAAATAAAAGGCAAATCTGCACCGAGGCTCCTAACTGGAGCAAACGGAAGAGCTCACATCACTCCTATTCTAACGTCTCCGCACTGGTTACCCGTTAACTTTAGAGTTAATTTTAGAATCCTGACTATATTTTACGTTTGGAT